AAACAGAATACATTCGGTTTTCTGCAGGCAAAAGCAGTCCCACAATCCCAACAAACAGAATACATTCGGTTTTCTGCAGGCAAAAGCAGTCCCACAATCCCAACAAACAGAATACATTCGGTTTTCTGTTTTCCGCAGGCAAAAGCAGTCCCACAATTAAAAAAAAAAACAGAATACAATAGAGCATCACAACACTTAAACAAAAACGGCCTTAGAAAGGATCACTCTTTCCAAATTGGATGGCTTGACCCGAATAGGAAAATATTCCAGGTCGACCACAGACACCTCAAAGAAGGCAAGAGAACTGTCCAAGGCTAGGAGCCCCTCATCTTGTGCTATGGTCTTAGAGAAAGGACCGCTCTGAGCTCGTATCGATATCACGAAGGGCAGACTCAAGTTTTGTCTGCCTCTGTGTTCGTGCGGACCATTGGCAGAACAGGATGTTCCAGTACAGCTTGCCTATGCCCCGGCTGTCGGGAACAGGTGGGGATAAGGGTCTGCTCTCACAGTCCTCAGAACTGCAAAGCCGCCTGATTCAGGAATGTGGTCTAGGGTACAGTTCCACTACCATATTCCCCCAAACATAATGCATATGGGTTGTATTTGAGTTTTAGGGGGGAAAAATGATGACTCAAAACATATATGCATTGTATTTTAACATTCCAACTGTTCGAATAACGACACACATGTGTTGCATTCAAATAGAAGCAACGTATGTGGTGTATTTGTTTGCAACACATACGCAACATGTGCGGGGGAAGACAGTAGCCGCAGGGTAAGACGGAAAATAGACACCCACCTTGCTATGTGACCACCCCAGCCCGTGAATAGCGGAGCTCGGGCATTGCATGTTTCCTTGCCGTTTTTGTGCTTACCCCTGATGTCCATGCCCCTCCGAAAATTAATAGCCCAGGTCCGAAAATTAATGGCCGTTTTGTGCTTACCCCGCATTCCATCACTCAGCCTTGTCTCTTCCCCAATGAAAGAGCTGCTCGAGACAAGGGCCGGATAGACCACGCAGTAAAGAAAGGCCAGTATATTTGGAGACAGGCATGGTGAGGGTGAGAAAGGGGCCAAAGGGGGAATTCCAAATAAAGTGTTTTGGCACCTTTACCGACTTACATGAGGGGATTTCCCCAGCTGTGCCACACATTTTTTTTCTTCACGAAGAGATCGCCTGCTTTCCAGCTTCTATCGGTTCTGTCAGTTTGCACTCGTCCGACGGCTGCCTTTTCAGTAGTCATTAGACTGAGGAAGGCTGAGGACGGTCTCAAGTATTTGCTAGAGTGCCATGAAACGACATCCCAACTTGGCCATTCGATCAGGCAATGCCCCTGACATGACGGTGTCAGGCCATCCAAAGTAGCAAAGAGGGGGGGGGAACGGCCGAGCTTGGCCATTCGATCAGGCAATGCCCCTTAGATGACAAAGAAGGGGGGGCTTTGCACACTTGATGAAATTACGGGAATTTGCCAAAGTGAGTTCAATGGAGCACAACTCAAATTCTCATTCATAAGAATGGGATGGATGTTCATCCATGCATCCAGACCACACCTCATTCCTAGGAATTCGCTGTGTACCTCAAAGGCTCAAACATCATGATTTTTTTCTCACGACTTTTTTGTTTTTTCTTTCAGAGAAAGCACATTTGGACTTACAACGCTCCCCCATCGGATCGCGAAGTATCGTATGGCTGGAGAGCACCATCATACTCCGCCAAACCTCACCTGTCATTTTCTTCTTTTTATGCACTTCCCCACACCTGCAACACAGGTAGATTGAAGTCATATACTATGGCTAGTGGCGCCATGCCCCCCGAGGGGATCGCAAAGGAGAATGGAGAAAACTACTCCCTGCAAACAGCACTGTACCTTTCTTCGCCAGTTCGCTAAGATCACCTGTAGCACTAATTCGGAGAAGTTTAATATCTGATCCGTGGTCCATCGGACCACACGATATTAAATTATTTTTCTTCTGGGCCACGGGAAAGAAAAAAAAAAGCACTGTACCAACTGGTCTAGCTCAGTTGGTACACCCATGAACTATTGAACCACACCCCTGAATTCAAATTCCAATTGAACCAGATGAGTACAAAACTCTGAATTTACCTGGGGCCGCTGGTTGCACCACATGATATTAAATTAATTTTTCTGGGCCGCAGGAAAAAAAAAAAGCACTGTACCAACTGGCCTAGCTTTCAGTTTGTACACGCATTAACTGTCAAAATACACACCTGAGCTAGGCTACCAGAGTGGTCCGGGGTCACTTGCCCGACCGGGCCAAAAACAATGAAAAAAATATTAAAAAAAAAAATAAACTTTATTTTTTTTTCGAAATGTGGTGCAGAATTTCGATGCGACCCTGAGGCAAAAGTTGTTCAGTTTATTTTTCTGCATACCATAGTTTTTTTCCGGATTTTTTTGAATTTTTTTCTTTTTGCTGGGACCTTCCCTGGTCCTTGCACGGGCCGGCCACCGGGACCCGGGCGGCCCGGCTGGTAGCCTAGCACCTGAGTTAGAAAACTCCGAATTTAAATGGGGCCGGTTGGACCACATGATATTAAATTATTTTTTTCTGGGCCACGGTGGTGGGAAAAAAACAGCACTGTACCAACTGGCCTAGCTCAGTTGCTACACCCATTGTTGAATTACACACCTGAGCAGGGTTGCCAGGCCGAACATACGGAGGCCCCTAAGCTGACCCCCGAACGTTCGGGCGTTCGGGTCCCCGTGAAAGGGTTCGGACCCCGCAAAAAAATATTTCGGCACCTAAATATTATTTGGTTTTTCTGAATTTTTTTGTGTGAGTTCTTTGTGATGTAAGGTATCTCCCTGTTAATTTTGAAGCCATTCTGTTCATCCAAAAAAACATGAAAAATCGGCAAAGATGGTGGTGTCAAAACTTGCTTGCCCACTCGCTAATTTGTTTTTTATCTCTTCTGACTTTTTGTTTTTCCTTTATTTCGGGGCATGAAAAAAAATATTATTTTTTCAAATTTTATTTGTAAATTCTTTATTTTCTCATGGCATTTGTCACAGCCAAACAAAAACGAAAAATCGCCAAAGATGGCGGTGTCAAAAACGTGCTCGCCCACTCAATAATTTCATTCTCGTTTGTTTTCCCCTAATTTTTATCATTATTATTTATTTTTAGTAGTTGATTTTTATTTCAAATTTGGCAAAGAATTTGGATGTAACGTTGAGGCAAATGTTGTTTAGTTTATTCTCATGCATAACATATTATTTTTTCAGTTTTTTTTTTTTTTTTTTTTTTGGGTCCTTGGCCGAACGTGTCAAGAGACCCCAACGTTCGGGCGTTCGGGTTCGGGCGTTCGGGTTCGGGCGTTCGGCCCATCCCGAACGCCGGCAACCCTGCACCTGAGTTCAAATTTCAATTGAACCAGATGAGTAGAAAAATATGATTTTACCTGGGGCAGGTCGAACCACATGATATTATTTTTATTTTTTCTCTGGGCCACGGAAACAAATAAAACAGCACTGCACCAACTGGCCTAACTCAGTTGGTACACCCATGAGCTTTTGAAATACAGACCTGAGTTCAAATGTCAATTGAACCAGATGAGTAGAAACTTAGAAAACTCTGAATTGACCTGGGGCCGGTCAGATGATATCTCACTGTCTGCCCTTTCTCAAAAGAAAGAAATGAAAAAAAAAAAAAAAAAAAAAAAAACACTGTTTCATGCCAACAGCACTGAATCAACTGGTCTAGCTCAGTTGCGACACCAGTGAACTGTTGAAAAAACAGACCTGAACCAGGTGAGTAAAAAACTCTGAATTTACCTGGAGCCGGTCCAGATGCCATAACAAGGTTGTCCGCCCTTTCTCGGAAAACGCAGAAAAAGAGAAGGCAAGACCAACTACGGAAAAAAGGAAGGCAGGTAGAAGGAGCCCAGGAAATCCCCTCCTAAAAAAAGGGAAAGGATCAGCCCCAGTTCTGACTGCACTGCGACCACAAATATCCAATTAGTAATACCAAGACCAGGTCTCATCCAAAATGAGATGCCAGTGTGACTCAGCAGTGGCAAGTTCGCTTTTTCCCGACCGCAAAGGCAGCAATTTTTCCTAAAAAAGGCCGTAGAGCATACTCACGCTAGGATTTTCCTGAAGGATGTCTCTTATGGGACCGTGACTGGGTGTTGTTGGGTGACTTACCGGACAATCTGCAACTCAACAAGGGTTCGGGCTACGTTGCCCAAGCTGCTCGGGCTGTAGGCTGTGACGTTATTTGGAACGGCAGGAACATGTTTGAGGGCTTGGAAATGTCTAACAAAGAAATCAGAGCTGTGTTTTGAGGCTCCCTGCGACGCATCGTTCAGGCAGATTGGCGGAGAAAAGGTGGATCGAGATCAGGAGCCTGGTTTGGCTCAACATGGGCCCTGGATGGGAAATTAGCAAGCTTCCAGGATGGTAAGTTAACTTTGGG